TAGCCTCTCTACTTACTTTTGTGTAATTTGAAGATTTTCATATATCAAACAAAACACCAAATGTAGGTCACTTTGCCGTGTTTGGAATGAGGACACTCAACAGTAACAGTATCATACCTGCTGTCTCTCCTGACTCCAACAGCCCATCAAGCATTACCCCCTTTCCCTCTGGCCTCAAACTGGGTTCCCTGACTCTCACAAGTTGACAGTTTGAGTTCAAGGGTCCAGGCCTGGTCCTGAGTAAAGTTCCCAAAATTCCCACCACTGTTTGTCCCAGGAAGCCTTTTGAAGCATCCTTCAACCCCGGTGGCTCAGCCTGTCCTGTCAGAGTTGTTTTGGGGGGTAGACAGATTCTTTTGGTCCCCTGGGACTCTTACCAGTCATTCTTAACGGATTTCAGCACTCACTTGCTATTTGAATCTTAATTCAAATGTCAGTCCTGGAGAGCTCACTGAGCAGGCCCATGACAAACTCATACCATCTGCATTAGTATTTCCTCCATCATCTTGACAGTTGGGAGTTGGCGCTATTACAATTCAGACGACACTCTGCCTTTGAAAGGAAAATTATGGTTTTTCAGAATGCAGCTGGTGTGCAAGTGAATAGGATGAAGTTTCTATGAAGCTTTCCCCTCATTTATCATCTGAAAACAATAAAATGTAGATTCAGCATGTGATTCCCACTTAAAAGAACTACCAAAAGGCACAGCATTTTTGGAGACAAAGGCGAAGAGAGCATTCTGTTCCACAGTAATAATTTTAATGAAAAGTAAAACCAGCAAAACAATCATTTATAAATGATTTCTCCTCTGTTGGAGGAGTTAACGTAGTTATTGCTGTGTAAACCACTTGGAAAAGGAGCTCTCTTAGCATCTAGTTAAGCCATTCCTTACAACACATTTTCAGTTTACCAGTTAGGTGGCAAAATCTATTGTTCACTTTCCTGGGGAGAACTGACCTGAAATAGAACCCACATGTGAGTTAGAACCTCATAAATCACTCTTTAAGTTATGGAGCAAATAAAACATTTTTCAAATATGAAAAGCAGGTGAGACAGAACAAGCTGCGAAGCAATGTCTTCAGGTAGTTTTTCATCTCAAGTCATTCTGCACATTATACCAGGACACTTGCTTCAGAGCAATGGGAACAATTCCTATTCCCTCCCTGGAATTGAGACTTCTAATGCTTATTTGTATCACTTTATTGGTCACCCAGTGGCAGTGGTGTGCTGATAAATGTTTAGCCACCAGCACTCTGGAGGACAAAAAGTTGCCATGTAATGCTTGCTCAGCTCTGTGGGCTGGACACAACCTCTGTGGCTGATACTGAGCTACTGCTGTGATGTCACTGACAGTGGGGCTGGGATGCACCATTACAGAGTATCTCCGCCTTCAGAGCGCTATGATGTCAGTAACCTCAAGACTATAGACAAGGGGAAAAGACAGTAAGATAAAAGGGAAGTGGTGAGCTTTGAATATCATCTAAGTTTTTAATAAATTGTAATTTTGTATAATTTAAGTTTTTATAATTTAAAAATTTAAGATTTTATAATTTGAGTTTTAATGACTGTGCTTTTTGACAACCAGTGCACAAAATTCTTGAAATTATAACCATCATTTCTGGCTGGCTCCAGCATGGTGCTGCAGCTCTGGGGACTCTAAGGTGGGGCCAAATGGAGCAGCCGCCTGCTTAGTTCTGCCGTTACAAAGACCTTTATTATCTTTGTGCAGAGGGACGAAAAAACCCAGCTCGCTCCGTATAGGAGATCACCATTCCTTCTAAGTGAGAGATTCTGGGAGTTCCCACTCAAATTCCATCAAGGCCCAGGACAGCAGAGTTTTACGCTTTATTGGCTACTTCCATCTGATCTCAGGGCTGTCATCCCTGCCAAGTCCAGATGGTGCTGTCGGACTATCAGTTCCCAGCACAACCCCCAGGCTTTCCACACTCCCCTCACCCTCTGTTTGACAGATTTAATTCAAGTTCCTGGCACTACCTCCTCCCATTTGATTCAAGGCCAGCATGCTTAATATAGGAAGAGCCAAAAAGAAAAAGAAAAAAAACAAAACAGGTGCTAAATCATCCAAGGTCAGGCTACTCATCAGCTTCTGTAGCCTCCTGGTTGTCTGTCTGAGGCAGCCTTTCTTCCAGGACTTTTCTAAGCCAAATACACCCCCTATAGCTCACAGTATAGTGTCACAGAATTTCAAGGATGGATGGGGCCTTCCAATCATCAAGGCCCAAACCACAGCATGTTCGAACAGCTCCCAGCTTCCTCCCCAACCCCCTCCTGCCTCAGCCCCAGCATCTCTTTTCCCAGCTGTAAAGCTGCTGTCTGCTGGCTTTTATCCCTTGGCACTGAGCCATAGTAGTGGGCAGGAGGCGTCTGTGATTGCTGACAGTGGAGGAGGTAGGAGGGAAGGAGCCTAGTAAAGACAGGCCCGTGGTAAAGTGCTTCACGTGCAAGATTGTGTTTATGGGTCACATTTATAGGTGATAAAAGAAGTTTAGCAAGATTAAGTGACTTTCCCTAGGTCACACCAGCTATACATTTTCAAGTCAGGATTTGAATCAGCTCTGTCTAGCTCAAACTGGCACCATTTACATTAGCCCGTGTTGCATTCCAAAGGCGTGAGGACCCCGCAGCTCAGCTCGTAGTGAATGCGGTGGCTGGGATGCCTGGCTCCCATAGTGGGAATGCAAAACATGGCATACTATGACATGGCAGCTCTTCTTGAGGAGGGAGCCATTTTTGTTTAGGAAAATGCCTTTAATAAGCCACTTTTAATAAGTGATCGGAGGTAAAATCTTACAGGGTGTTGGCAGGAATCAGATTAAGAAATGGAATGATTATGCTTCTGTACATGAAAACACAAATGGGTTTGCTGTCCTAAGAAGGGAGCTAGGTGCCAGGTGGGGTGGAAGGTGGGCGGATTCCTCTGGAGTGCATCAGGGCATTTAATGAATGGAGATGGCAAGTCTGCATCGCTACAATGTCTTGTTTCCTCCTACATCACGGAAACACAAGTAGACTGACTCATTTGAATTTTGGTGTGTGTGGAAATGGGGGAGAAACTGAGCTTCATGTCTCAGCTGATGCAGAGCAGGAAGGAGACACCACTGCTGCTTAAAATGAGGTAGCAGCAGTCCAGAGTCAGCAGTAACTGCAAAGCTGCAAGTCCTTCAGAAAGCAGAGATCCAAAGGCTCAGAACGACAGCCCAGAGTTACCAGACTGTTCTGGATCTCAGAGGGCGGGACGCCCAGCTGACATGGGCTACATACAGCAGGGGAGAGGAGCCAGGGGCTGGCTGCCGGGGCAGCTTCTGGCTTTGTGGAAGACAGTAACTACAACATGGGCAGTCAGGACCCCTAAGGTGCTCCGACAGAGCAAGTTTGTGGTCTTTAAGTTCTCGGCTTTCACAGAAACCCACTGAAGGCTTTGGAAACCCAAAACATTCCAAATGGGGTTACATCAGCTGAATGGGGTGAAGGACGGCTTCAGTCAGTTTGGCAGAGACCTTCTCCCTCACATCACTGGTAGTGTGGAAGGTGAGGCTAAATGGGCTTGGCTGGTGGAAAAACAGCATAGGTCATGAGCTGGCTAGCATGCTGGAAATCTTATAATGCCTTGGGGTTCTCAACTGCATCCAAGTCGATCCAGAACAAGAGAACCAGGGGAATGGCCAGAGGGTGCTCCAGGAGGGCAGTTACTGCACAGGAGAGTCCAGTGTGCCCCCTGGATGGACAGTCAGATTGCCTGCTGCCCCCCACTTGCAGCTCACTAGCTCAGTGACTGCAGCCCTGGGATTCTGATCCCCCAGGGGGGACTGAACTGATCTCCAAGGTGATTCTCTTCCTATGGCATCAAGTCTGGCTCCATACCTGACTTTCTGAGTGTTGCCTCCGAGCCCCTGTGAACATTATATGGCAGAGTAAGACTCCAGAGTGTGGGGGGTGCCAGCCCAGGGCCTAGGACAATGCCACATGTTGACATGGAGCCAAACCTGGAGAAGGACATGGCAAGGCTTGAAGGAGCAAAGTTTTCATACACAGCTAAGTGAATGTTAGGGAGAGCTGCAAGTGTCACCACAAGCTTGGAATGAGAGCTTAATACAGTTTTACGCAAAGAAGAAAACAGTCTATTCCTAAAGTGGGTAGTCTTCCAGGTCAAAACATTTCAGAGTATTCTTGAGTCTCAGAGGCAGTCAAAAATAGCACCAGACTCTCCATAGGCAATGGAACCAGATCCAAGAACCTACCTCCTGGGACAGTGGCAGTTGTGGCTGCTGTCAGGGTTTGTCCCTAAAGGTCTGCATAGCCTGACAGCAAGTAGAAGCCTCACCCCCAGGTGCAAAAACGTTTCAGGTTGAAATGCCCCGTTTACTGCCTCTGCCGTCACTCTCCGACATGGCTCCTTCAGCCCACATTGGAGGGCTGTGGCTCCAGGCTTGTCTACACATGGCGGCAAGGTCCATTAATTTCTGGGAGGGCTGGCTGTTACTAGGGTGATTCTGAAACACCTAGTCAGCAGCTTCCTCTTCCTCTGATTTACATTCAGAGTGTTCTCATCAGGACTCAAAGGAGGAGGCTTCCTGCTTTCCTGCTTCCTTCCATAGAGGTGAGGTGATTGGAAATACAGACACCTCATTATCTTCACTGAGAACCGTTTCAAAGCCCCCCTACCCCTAAACAATACATATTCATGTTTCTGTCATTAAAACCCACAGAAGAGTCATTTCCTTCTCCTTCACTAGAATCCCCCATTTCTTATTTCTCCCACTGAAACTTCTCAGTCACAAAATCACCCCAGACCTTTCTCTTTCCTCCTCACTGGCTCCCTCGCTGTCATGGACCTCCCTCTTAGCTGGGCCCAGAGAGCCTGCAATCCTGACACTAATAGCTTATAATCCACTTACATTGTTTATCAGATCTTAATAGCCCAAAATCCACATTCTGATAACCCCAAGCCCCTCAGCAATCAGACAGAGAGCATGAAGACATTTTCCCAAGTGCAGAACCGTATATATTCTGAGTGACTGAACTACTGGCATTCAAGTGTTGACCAGTTTCAAGATGCTACTACCAGAGAATGGGAAGACCATACACAGACACTGCAATTCATATTACATAGGAAGACTGCTAATTGGTATTTAGGTTCAAGAGATTCAGATTATATATGATACATCTACAGGCTGTCTGAAAACACTAAAAGCCTTGCTCCTTTCTGGCTGTCAGGCTCCTGAGAAGCTGCATCCTTTGTCAGGGTTCCTCCTACTGTTTAGTGTGATAATACCAAGATTTCATGGCCTCTTAACTCCCTCAGGGGGAGTGGTGTGATAATAATTTATTATAAAATCCTTCCCACATATTGCACTCTCATTAATTCAACTCTGGCCTCAGATCACCCCCAAGAATTACCTCTAGAATAGGCACTGTCTCTGAAGGATGGAGAAATGGAGGCCAAGTCCACCTGATTAATTGCACAAGGTCCATAGCTATTAATGGGGATAGTCAGAACTGTTATCTGGCTCTGTGCCCCATGTTCCTCCCAGCAGGCTTTGGGGGCAGCTGTGACAAGTGTGGTCCAGCCACCTGGCTGGGGCTCACTGGGCTCACAGCCAGTATGAGAAATCTTGGAGGGGGGCTATGCTCCAGCTGTGACCCAGCTTTCTCTGCTTCTAGACAGGGCTAGGTTCCAAGTGCTGATGCCAATGACTACAGATGTCAGGAACAGCTGGAAATTGGATCCCCCTTGATGGATCTGGAAAGCACCCAGAGCTGCTCTGCTCAGGATGGGGCCCCCCAGCATCCTTTTAGATAAAGTGGGGGAGAATGGGCTTCCACTAAACAGTGGGAGTGAAGGCAGCCTCCAGATGTTATCGCTTGGTTCAGATGCTTATGTAGAAAGCATTTGGCCAATCCCAGAGAGAACAGACCTAGAACTATCCTCCTCCTCAATCTCTCCTGAGTGGTAAAAGTAAGGTACATATCTTACCTTATATAAAGGTGAAGGTGAATTATTTTTCAATGGTACAAGCCACATGACCAGAGCTACAGCTTAGTAGCATGCACTCTGTGATGGACTGTGTAGTGTGACATCTGCATTACACAGTGCTGGATATTTTCCAGTTGTACAACTGTTACTTGGTGAGATCTGATTTTAGCCACAATATTTTAAAAGCCAATTACCTATTTAAATATGTGGTGAAAAGTGTAAGAGTTTGCCTTTACATACATTTTACACTTATGGCAGAGTAAATACAGGAATTTACATACCCAGCATGGGTGTTGCTACCCTCAAAGCACTTACCTGAACTAGTGACCTAGTTCAGTGAAATCAACCTCACTAAGAATATTTCTTTTCTTTTTTTTTTCACTAAGAATATTTCTATACCCTCCCTGGAAACTCACCTGTGATCTTCCTCAGTGTTGGTAAGTCTTTGTCTTTCTTAGTGAGGCTTAGGTTTTGAGGAATGATTTTTTTTTTTTTAACAGTCCAACAGCTCTAGAAAATAAGTCTGATAAGTACAATGGGTGATGGAGCTTGGGACCACCTCTGGGGAGAGGTGATATAAGTAACAAGATCTGCATATGAGGTTTGAGGCCTCTTTTCTTGCATGGCTTCGAAGGTAACTCCAATGAGGAATTCTAAATGTTCTTAGCATATGCAAAATCACAGCTCCAGAATACAGTCTCCCAAAGAAGTAACTCTGGTTATGCTAACTCTTGAGTGCATATGTTTTAGTGTATTTGGTTAAAAAAGGAGCTTTGCTCATTTTCCAGTCCTATTTCATATCAGCAGAAATGGAACACGCCATACATGAATCTCCCAGGGAGAGGATCATCATCTACTACTCAAAGAGTTAAAATGAAAAGCACTTGGAGTCATGTCTACAGTATCCCCCTCCCAAAGTGCAATGAGTCATTCCTGATACCTGAGTCTCCCCAGTTTGGAAAAGTGGGTAAGGACAGGTCTCTGGAACCTGGATAAGACTAGAATATCAAGGGGACTGGAGTGTTTCCAATGGCTCTATCTACCCAACAGGCCATGACAGCAACTTAATCCAGGAAAACCTCTTACATATAAACAGTACACAAGTTTCAGTAAAGGAGGTGAGAAGAGGATCTTTCCCAGTAGCTTTCTATGATAAATACCCACTAGATTCTAGATGACAAGTGAACAGAGTCCATCGAAAAGAAAGTTCATGGTGTTCTATTCTAATGCACGCTTAAGAAAGTGTGTGGCCACCAGCTCACTGAAGTACGTTTTCAGCTGAGGCCGAAGGCAGCAAAGGTACAAGAGGCTGCTGGGCTGGCATTGGTGAGGCAGGGTCGAGACATTTGAAGTGGCAAAGCCATTTGTAGAAAGCCCCAGTTACAGAGCGGATGTTTGCCAAACAGGAACTCAAGGGATGTTCAATCTCACTTTCTACAAAGTGCTTCACTGACAACGCTAATGAGGAAGCTCCCTAAACACCGGATCCTGAGTGTCAGAGAAATATGGTCCAGACGGTGACTGATGAGGAGCAGAGAGGGGTCCTCTCGCAGTGTTTGAGTGCATTCTCCAAGCATCACACACACACATTTAAATGACGTGCACATAACTGCTGGCAGGTTCCACATCCTGGGCACACGCCTGTGTCCCGTGGTTAGGGTCCTGTTTCCAGGAGCCCTTCTGAGTTAATGGGCTCTACAGAGCACAGTGAGAAGCAACAGCAGAGTCAAAGCCTTCAAGTCGTCCATGGTAGCTGAGTGCTCGGAGCAGACACTGGTCTCAAATGGTTCAGTCGGGATGTTGCTCTTGGCGAGTATTTTTATCGTAGTCTTTGTAAAACTCACAAAGCGAAGCTGTTTGCTTAAATCATCGTTAGAAAGACGGTGGAGTGCCCAGATGGGATTTCTAGTTTCTGTGCAAATGAGATCACATTAGTCCAGATTTTATTCACTCAAAACTACTAGGGAAGCAGTAGGATTTGGTTTCAATGCTGCCAGAAAGCAGGAATTCACTTAAGTTTTAATTCCGAAGCTATCCTATTGTTAATGTTGTAGCTGGGTTCAGGCAGCATGGGGGGTGGGACCCCCCTCATGCCTGCCGAGGAATCCCGCATCTCTCCCAGTTCAAGCTCACTCTCACTAGAGGTAGACCCACTGTTGATGGCGTAGACATTCTCAGTGACTCCCTGAGCTGAAGCGCAGCCGTCTGGCTCCTTCTTCTCCCTGGGGCTAGACAGCCCTGGGAGGAGGGCCATCTTCCCAGTCTGCCGACTTGGCAGCAAGGACATAGTGTAGTCTGCAATGACCCCGCCCACGTCTAAGTTGCACGCCTGGTCGAAGGCCAGGAACCCGACGTTGGCATTTGCCTCACACACCACAAAGGAGCCATCGTCCATGATGAGGAGGTCGATGCCACAGAAGTCCATGCCCAGGATGTTGGACACCTGTACAGCCAGTTGCTTACCCTGTTCAGTCAGGGGGCACATGACGCCCACACCGCCTGTGGGGAAGCGCAGTGATGTCAGACACTCACTAAGGAATACGCGGCCTTCAGGGGAGGATGGGGGTGCTCAGGAGGATTACTCCCAGAGGGTCTGGGTGGAAGTCAGCCTACCCTTTGGGGAAACAACATGGTCATTTCTTTATTCTGGAGTTTTAAAAGTATTTCTAACCTCTGACCCCCGTCATCCCACATTGAGGAATCATCTTAAGTATCAAAATGTGTTGATAGCCGCTATTGGAAATACTGAAAATCACTGCGCCTGGAAAGCCATAGGTACTGAGTCATACCTGTCTATGAAAAAAGAACATGTTAGAACCTGAATATCTCAAAATTGAGGAAAAGAGAGCGTTTTTACAACCATTAATAATAATGCTCATAGATTTTGATCTGATGGGAAAATACTTAGACGGATCATAACTATGACCATACCTATGCAAAAAAACACGGTCAGCACTATGACCATACCTATGCAAAAAAGCACGGTCAGAAAAAAGGATCAGGAAGAATGAAACCAAACTGCCAATACCAGCTATGTCTAAATGGTGGGATTAATAGTTAAATTTTTTTATTTGACTTTGTCATATTTTCTAAATATTTTTACCTTCCACTCCTTTCTTCCCCCCCTTCATTTCTTTTACAATTAAAAAAAAAACAAAAACAAAATTGCGCCATCCCTGGTGGTACAATGGGTTAAATGAAGTGCAGCACTGCAAGTGAGCTGCAGCCACTTCGGTGCGAGTTCCATCCCCACCCAGGAGGTGACCACATGGCTCCGCAGACCTCTCCTGGCCTGCCCGCTGCTCCCCTCAGCAGTGTACTTCATCTATCTGCCTGTTCTGCTCCCCACTCTGTTTCTGGTGAATCCTCTCACCGCCCCTGCACCTCTGGCTTGTACCCCAGTTCTGTATGCATAAATAAATAAATCTTTAAAAAATATATCTAATATATATATATATCTTTAAAAATCTTTAATATATATATATAATTTTTAAAGAAGATGGAGAGTTCTGTGAGACAAAATTTTGCACCAGGGGCAGAGCATCTGAAAGCCCTTGTGAGAAAGTTAAGACAGGGCCCCCTGGTGTCACAAGGGGTTAAGTCTCAACACTATCTAGCTATGAGTTTGACCCCTGACCAAGGAGCTGATCCACATGGCACAGCAGCCCTCTCTGTCTTGTCCACTGTTCCCTTAGCAATATTTCAGCAGATCTGCCTGCTCTGATCCCAGATCTACTCTGTTGAATCCTCTTATCCCTGTACCTCTGACCTGTACCCCAGTTCTTGTGTGCATAAATAAATAAAAATAAATCTTTTTTAAAAAGAAAGAAAGGTAAGATCTTATTTGTCTCTTTTTGTCTCCTTTAACTAGTGGTCTCTAGTTAAAGAAGGGTTTCTGTGAGGTGACTAAAGCGGACACAGTAATGATGCATGAAGTCCAAAATGGAGTGCTGAAATGAGGGACATGTGAGGTACAGCTGCTCTGTCAGTTTTGCCCTGTTGGCCTGTCCACCACTGTGTCACGGGACCTTATCTGCCTGTGCGTGTCCTCTCCGCCACTGGACTACAAGCTACCAGAAGGCAAGGATTCTCAGTTGCTAAACTCCCAAAATCAATAATAGAAACTGCTCACAGAAACCGCTCAATCAGTCTTAATGAAAAGTGAAATCACTCTCTCAGCCTCTATATTAGTCACTAGAGTTGGGACATTATGTGACGATTATGGAAATAACTGTAGTTTTATTTATTTATTTATTTATTGACTAGAAGAATTGGAGTATAGCTAGAGGTATGTGTTGTTGGGGGGCGGGGGGGGGATTAACACCTAGATCACTGGGGAAACCCCTGCAGGAGTTTCTTTTTTAAAATATACAAACAACGTTCTATGATGGGTACAGGAATTTACATCCCTTGTGAAACCTTTCTATTCACAATGTAAAACAGGCTTGATCCACAGGTTTAAGCAGTGGGGTTACATATTTGATTCAAAAATAAACTGCAGCTTCCTAATAAATACATATAAGAAATAATGCAATTTTTAATCATAATGTAAAAGCCGAATATGCTCTGCCTCCTGCCATTGCCTTAACTCACCCTCATTATTTCACGCCTGAGCTATTGTTACAGGCTCCAAATTCACCTGCTTTCCTCTCCCTAGGAAGGGCTTGATTCTAATTCTTATCTGTGGCTCTGGTGTCCAGCAGAAGGCCTGAGAAGTCAGGAGAGAGTGGCGTGTATTTTCTGAACGGGTCTAAACATGCAAACGGAAAGCCCTGGCCCCCGCTGGTGACTCCCGAGCCCACTGGCAGCTTCCTTCCCCCCTTACCCAGAGAGCAGTTGCTCTGCATCCGCCCGTCGGTGGAACAGCGGAGCATGGAGCCAATCACCTGGCCCCCTACCACCACCACCCGGATGTCCTTTCCATGGGATTCCTTCACATACTTCTGGAACAGATAGGGCACATCATGGCGGATCAGATGGCAGATGTCTGAGAGGTGATGTTTATCTCTTGCAAGAAAAACAGCCTTTCCTTTAAGAAGATGAAAAACAAGAATAGTCGTTACAGAGGTCACTGAACCCTGACCTTGTCCTCCCAGCTCCCTGTCCAGGGCAGTTCTTGACTCTTCCTGAACTTGCCCCATGTTGACCCTTCTATTTCTTTTAGATTCATGCTTCTTTCAAATGGCCATTGAATCTTATTTTCTCTTGGTTTTACTCTTTAAGGTTACTCTTTATAACATCAACCTTCTCCCTCCACCACCACTCTTTTTTCCAAAATTACGTAGTACTGTACTGAAGAAACTGAGAAGGGGGTAAAAGTAGAACCCTAAAGATGTAGTCAGTTTAGTTCCAGAAACAGTATTTCCTGTCACCCAAGGCCCAAATCCAACTCATGTTTTCTAATTCCCCAAACCTCAGTCTGGGCTTGATAGACAAAGTAGGTGTCAATCAATATTTCCAGGACATAATTAATTGAACATGCTTTAGAGGAATCTCAAGTCTAGATGGAAAGAGACCAAAAAAAAAAAAAAAAAAAAAAAAAGGTAAGCACAGCACAGCATGATGTGGTGCAGAGAGGTCTGTGCAAAATACCATGGGCCTTCTAAGAGCGAGTGGCTGACACACATTCTTCCTCCTCTAGCCAAAGAGAGAACATACCGTTTTGGTGTAATGATTAATTCCAAAAGGAATGATTTACACTTCCATTGATCTCAGGGGAAAACAGTCCTTCTTGACTCCAAATTATTTCCTGCTTGAATCATCTATACTTCTGTAATTATTTAACACCTGCTGGCACATTTTCAGATCAACTAACAAATCAGAGCAGACGGCTCTGCAAATGCCCTGGGCATGCCTGATCTGAGCATTCTTGTTAGCAAGTAAGGAACAAAGAGCTGGTTTTCCTAGATTTATGTCATGAACTTAAAAGGAGACCCTTGTGAAATCTTAATGAGAAGAGTGGTGGGGACCAGCTCTAAAGGTGCTCAAGTGTAATCTCCAAAACATATCTCAATCACTGGCTGTTTGGCACCAGGAAATCTTGCATCTAGCAAAAGCTGGCTGAGATTCAGCGATAGGTAATGGGAGTTCTCTGGATATTAGGGAGTATTTTCAGCAGAGATGGAAACAAGAAATAGGGATTTGCATGCTGAAATAAAAATTCTTGCCTGCAGTTAATAAAGGGGCTAGAGTTTAAAGGCAAGGGGGTGAAAAGGGTGGCAGAAGAAAGGCACTAGGATTAGTTAATCATCTACCATGTGTCAGGATCCCAGCCCCTTTTTAATTCCATTTACACTTCATACTAGTCCTGTGACGCCACTAGAACAAAGTCAGTTATTTCTGTCTCACAGAGAAGGAAAATGAGTTGACAAGATGAATAACGTTCCCAAAGGCGCAGCCTCGGTCACACTACTAGCTTTTTTAGAATTATCTTCATGTAGGTGAGTCTAACTTAACTGCTATAATTTTATTTCTTACCCCATTTTTCCATACCATTTACTTAACCATGAACAGTCTGAAAATGAAATAAAAATGTAATTCCATTTATAATAGCATGAAAAGGGATACATTTAACCAAAGGACTACAAGACTTAGAGGCTGAAAACTCCAAAACATTTCTGAAAGAACTTAGACATCTAAATAAACAGAAAGATAGCCCATGTTCAGGGAACTCAAAACTTAATATTATATTGTGCATGGTAATACTACTCAAATTGATGGACCAATTCAATGCAATCTCATCCAAAAGTCTGATTTCCTTTTTTGCAGTAATTGAAAGGAACCATGAAGGTTCCCACATAACTAACAATTGTCAAAAAGGACAAAGCTGGAGGACTCACTTCCTAACTTTAAAAAGTATCACAGTTGCAGTAATCAAAGAAAATATGACTTGGCATAAAGATAACAGAGAGAGCAATGCAACAGAATGGAGAACCCAGAAATAAATCCTCACTCATATGGTTAATTCATTTTTAACAAGAGTGCCCAGAGATTTCAATGGGAAAGAAGAGTCTCTTCCAATATGACTGGGGAAACTGAGTATCCACATGCACAAGACTGAAGTTTGACATAGGAGTTCTCACAGAGACAGGTGGGCAGGACCTGCTTCCCGCCCTGAGCAGCTCACCATCTTTAGGAGGACAGGCATAGCATCCTGAACTTTTCTTAAACTATAGCACAGTGCTGGAGGCATGGACAAAGGGCTGTAGAAACACAAAGGGAACAACTGCTAACTAGAAGAGAGGAAGACAGGCCAGGGACATGGAGAGGGGGAAATGACATCTGGAACTGGCCTTTACAGACAGGCAGGAAGACATCCACTGGCGAGCAGAGCAAGCTGACACTCTCAGCAAAGCAGCAGAAGCTGGAAGAGAGGAAAATACCTGGCTTGGCTGGTAAAGGCGAAATTGTCCAGAATAGATGAGGGAGGGTCCCCATGGCCAGGGAATGCTGCAAAGGTGTTGAGGCTGTTCGTGCAGGGCCTTCTGTGCCATAATGAGGAAGATGGAATTTGTATATTGTAGGCCACATGGGTTCTGGGCAATGTTTTTCAAGCAAGAGAGTGACAGAATAGATGTAGGTTTCAGAAAAACTTCCCCGAAAAGAATAGAGGGGTACTGGCAATGGAGTTGGGGATGGGGTCAGAACCCAGTCAGGAACCAGCTGCCACAGTCCAGGGAAGAGGTGTGAGGGGTCTGACAAAAGCAGAGAGGAGAGAAAGGGATAGAGCCATATGGTAGGCTCCCGAAAGGGGAGCTGCATTTCTCCATGTGTTGCTCCTGCTGTGCCCGGCCAGGTTACAGGCCAGGCAGAGCTGCAGCCCTAATGGAAGCCAGGAAGAGCAGTACTGACCCCGGTGTCCTCGGGTGCTCTTCACCACCACCGGGTAGCCCAGGGGCTCGGCTTCATCAATCATTTTTGAAAAGTCTTCATGCCCACCTGTGGAGGAAAGGGGACAGTCAGTGAAGGTAAAGCTGATGCTCGGGAGTGACCTGCAGTGACCCCGTGGGCATTCTGTCCAGGCCTCCTGTCTGTGATGACAGTAATTCGAATCTGACAGACATGCACTGTGGACCTGTAACACAAAAGTGATTATGATAAGGAAATCAACATTTATCAAATACTTTTATGTAGGAAGGGCTTTCTATGCTCTAGAATTCATGCAATCCTACAGATTACACAGAAGCTGAGAGATAGTACTTGGGCGTTATTTTAAGCCACTGTTTTTAGTAGTTTGTTACGCACCAACAGGCACCCCAATTTTGCAGGAAGCAAGCCTGGTGACTGGGAAGCCTGAATTGGCCACACTATATTTCTTTAAGCCTTGATTCAAAATGTGAGTAATAATGTGTATTAAAATCTTTTTTAGAGTTTCTTACAAACTTTCTTGATTTCCCACCTATTTGCATTTTAGAGGAGTCAATATTCTGCCAAACACAGGCAGTATTGTGGCTCATCAATTTCTGCAAAGCAAACTATTCTCCGGGATCTTAGTAAGACCTGCCTCATTCACAACGGGGCTTTACCTAGTCCCTAAATGTCCCCAAGGGCATTTCTCTTGAACTCTTTATTTTTTATAGTAGTAAAGTATGCTTAACATTAAAGTTACCATTTGAGGTATCCAGCTCAGCCTCCCTTTGTTCCACATATTCTCTCTGAGTAATCGCAACCATTCTTATGACTTCTCTTAATGAAACAAGTTTCCAACCCACTCCCTTGCTTTGCACTGTCTGTTGGGGATGCCAGTGTCATTTACTCACTGCCTATTGAGTATTTTTACTTGCATATTCTATAGACACTTCAAACCGAACATGTCCCAAACTTAAATCATGCTTCCCCAACAAGCCCTCATTCTTCTTGTCTGTGTCTAGTTTCAGTGACTCTTGCTTTCACATCAGGTTGCCCAGACCAGAAACCACAGTCATTCTTGATGCCCCTCCATACCCCTCATAACCAATCAATCATCAGGTCCAGTTATTTCTACCTCCTTCACATTTCCTGAAGCTGTTCACTTATACTCATTCTTACTATGACCACCTCTGTCTAGACCATCATTGCTCACTTGGATTATTTAAAAAGCTTATCATTAGGTATCTGGTCTCCACTTTGCCCCTATCCAAATCCTCCATAATGTAGCCTAAAGATAATGTGAACTCTCATCAGACCACGCCTTGCTTAAATGCCTCCATAACTCCCTGTTAGTCTCAGTGTTGACCTTCATCTCCGTCATATGTTGTCTCATGGGCCTTTCTCATCTCCCGAGCCTTATACCTCAACTTCCTTATGATCTATAAATCTTATGTCTCTCCCTTATGATCTATAAATCACTTGCAACACCACCAAGCGGACAAGTTCTCCCTTGCTTCGAGGTCTTTCTATATTCCACTCATTGCTTCCACTACTTCCCAGACACCCTTGCTTTGGCTGGATACCTTCAGCTTCATTTAGTTAGTATCTCTTTCAGGAAATCTTCCTCACTGGGAGCCCACCTGTGCATCCCCACAAGCCCTTGCACTGAGTCTTATCACAGCACTTACCGCACTGGCCTGAAATTGCCTGTTTACATCTGTCTGCTACCTCTGATGGACTGAGAAAGTGTTAAGGGCACACCAATATCATCTCAATAAACATGTGTAAAAGAAAAGAAAATCCAAGAGACCCAGTAGGGCTTTTAGGGAGAGAAAGCACAGGGCTGAGGGTGCCTGGAAAAGGACGTTCCTACTCTCTTTCAGGAAGACTTACCATAGGAGAAGGTGTCTGGCATGGGGACTCCATGTCCGGCCAGCTCTTGGAATGTCCAGAATTTGTTGATGCAGTTTAAAATGCTCTGCGGTCGGTTGACCAGGCGGCAACCCAGCTTCTCCAGGTGTCGCAGGACCGTGATGTCGCTGTCTGACTGAACAGAGGGCGTGGGCACCCGCACGAGCACTACATCTGGGAAGGTGGTGAGCGCCTTCTGGTTGAGCTGAAGGCCTGCAACCAAGGGACAAGAGTGAGCTCTGGCCTCTCCGCGGACTGCTCCCACCAGGACAGGCTCTGGCGGTCTCAAGACTGAATGGAGCAGGAAGACAGTCTTGAAGATGGCACTTGGATGTCCTGTTGTAACGAGGGAATCACAGCCAACCTTGTACTCCAAGCAGTGAGCACAGCATGATAATGAGGAGACACAAGAGAATGAACAGAAGGGGGGAAAAGGAGGCAGCATATCAAGAATGATGAATCTTCAGGAGATGATGTAGCCCAGCACCCCCTCCCATGTAGCATCACAGAATGTGGACATGGAGGAGGCTTGAGACCTGGGAAAGAGGAAATAGTGTAGCAACCTTAAGGGATCCCTCCTACTCTTTCATGATTTAACCTTAAACAGTTTATGTGACTAGCTATTCAAATGATTCTGACCAATATAATGAATGCATAATGTCACATAAGCGGAAAGAAACAGGACATAACATAATAAATACAAATTAGGAAGGCTGGGAAGAAATATGCCAACATCTTAACAGTGAGTAATGGGATTCTAGGTGATTTCTTATCTTACTATCTTTTTAACAACAACAGAAACACTTTAAACAATTTAATTCAATAGTAGACAAAACTAGGATGGTTCCATACAGAGAAAGGACCTGAGCGTGTGTCCCACTGGTGAGCTGAGGGATTAGCCTCTGGGGCTGAGTGAAGACTCAGAAGAACAGGATACTATCTTCAAATATCTACAGGGCTTCCATGCAGAAGTATAAGGCTTATCTTCTTTGACCCCAAGGGCTAAGGCTAGCCATAAAAGCACCATTTGTCTATCTATTCAATGCTGTATCCTCAGCACCTAAAACAGTGTTTGCTACAGAATAGGCATTTGCTGTTTGTTGGATTGTACAGAAGCAATAGGGAGATTTATTTATGCCCAACAGAAGGGATACTTTCTACTGCCTTAGGACAGAATAGGCTTGAGCTCATTGGCTACTGGAGAATGTTACAGGAGGAAGACAAGTATCAAGTAAGCTTACAGTGCCAGATAAGTTCAGATAAGTTCGAAGGAACCTGCTTGGTCTCTTTTGACTTCATATCCTCTGGTTTTCATTACTCTGCAGCTACCTGAGCACCTCACATCTGGGGACAGAATGATAGCAACAAGAAATGAGATGGGCAGGGTAATGAGGGGGTGAGTTTAGGGAATTATCTGGCCTACCATAAGGAATTTCTAGAATGTTCTAAGTAAAATTTTTAAAAATAGTTTCAGAATCACCTTAGAAGCTTAACCTAAAGCACCTTCTATCCTAAATAGCCATTTAATTCCAAGAAAACAGAAGGTGCTCATGAAGTTACCATTTATCAGGGGATGAACAACACGACTAATACAAACAAAAATATACATCAATGTTACCTTAATTAAAAAAAAAAAAACTCCAAGCAAAATGAAGAAAACCCTCAAAATATAAAACTACCAAATGAATCTAACTTCCTTTGCCCTGCCACCTCCATTTCTGGAAGACATCTCACCATTTGAAAAACTAATAGGTGTAATCAGTAAAGTAAATTGTTTTTAGTACTTTTGTTGACAGTCAGAACTGGAACATCATCACTCTTGGGGATGATTTATAAAGAGCATTTAGGTTATCTTCACTTTGCCATCAGAAAACAGTATTATTTGTATATGCTTTTCCTTTGCCATTTACAGCTCCCAGGGGAGTATGAAAGGTGGTAGGAAGCAAACCTTGTGTAACACCCTCAAAACCGGTAGGAAAAGAAAGAAAAAAAAAATTCAAGTTGGTGAAAATGGTGAATAAATACAGAACACTCAGGGAAAAAAGCAACAGCCCGGAACATTACATAATGAGATAATATATGCAAGAGTGCTTTGAAAACTATAATTGCTATGCATACATAAGGCACTGACGTTATTACTGCACAGACAATCTACCAAGCAGCATAGGACACTTTATGGTGATTTGTACCACTTGATGAGAAAAATGGCTTTGCAACAAACAGAAAAGTGACCTGGAGAAATGAAAGGCAGCAGAAACGGCTGGCTTGTAAATCCCAACATAAGACTACAGACAAACGTTCTAAATGGGAAGGAAAGAATTCAATCATTTCTGGAATACTGACCACGAGGGGACAGAGACAACTCAGCCTCAACAAGCAGTCACATATACCTACGAAGTCTTACCAGTACTTCATCTCTCTTCTCCAAAGGCAAATCTTTGGGCCTGGCTCATTCCAACTGAAGCCTTTAATAAATGAAGAATGGAATGGGTTAAAGGGGAGCCAAAAAGGCTCTGCCAAGCAATCAGGTGTGGTCTCTGGCTGTGCTGGCTGTCCAGCTGGACAAAGAGGGACACAAGTTTAGAGACACAGCTGCCCAGGGACTTCGCCACTGACACAGACCCAGCGTCTTGCTACAGGCACCTTCACTGGCTTGTCCCTCCCCGCTTTGCAGTCTAAACCTGGTCTAAATCACCTTTTCTAGAAGCAGTGGACTTGAGAGTGGCACTCACATGGCCCAGCGGGAGCAGTAGTTCCACACAGCAGGGTCAAAAACAGCTCAGGTTCAAGGCCGCCCCTTCGCAAAGCTGTCAGCGAATCCTGAGGCCTTTATTCACTTAAGTAACTTCCTGTCCCCACTGACATCTCCTATGAGAAAGAAGCTGACGAACTTAATTCAGGATGGAGCTTAACCAACCATCCCTTTTCCCAGGATCCTTAACGTTTCCACTGCAACCTAAGGGCCTCCAGCCAAGGGGCTGGAGATGATGTGGGGTATGGGGACAGGCAAGGCTCTGCCTGGCTGCCAGTGAGGGAGGAAAGCCCTCAGCAGGAGAGACCCTTGCCCTCAAGTCACAAGGGATTTCATGTGATTACGTTCTCCTGGGCTCCAGGGCATCCCCTGGTCAGGGGGAGCAGAAGAATACAGAGGGAGTTGCTTCTGGGATACTAAGTGTCCAAAACTCCTGCACTGGGCATTGAGATGAGATGTACTGGGCTTTTTT